AGCAGTAGTTGCACGGTCATTGAGAAAATCACCGTGTCCAATCCGCGGTTATCGAAAAACGGAAGTAATAAGCTATCGCGGTAAATTGTCAGTGTTGCTGGCAATCGGTAAACGTGTACGTGCTTAAATCGAGTGCCTCTTTGTCGCAGAAGTAACCCTCGAGCCGATCTCGCGACTTTATCGCCGTTTACATTCGCGAACACCACGCGAGAAATTACAGTACACCCGGCCTGGGATCGTGATAACTTCGCCGCGCGTTTCTCGCTCGTTACGCCGTCATAATGAACGCGCACAGCTGCGATATCGGCGACCAACAATGGAACTAATGACGTTAATAAAACCGAGAAGTGTATTAATTAATGCTGTTACCGATGTGAATGCCCGATGGATTTCGATGAATTAACCCATTAACCGAACGTTCTTGGGGACACGCTTGGCTGAACGTTAATGCCGCATTCTACTTTCTACGAGCTCCACCAACCGGCATAACAATGGCCTCCGTCGGTTAACGCACCAGGTATGAGTGATGAGTTTTCAGTGACAAACGATGCCGCGTTCTTTGTTTGTTTCAATCCTTCCCTCCCTTACCGATAGTTTCTCCAAGCGGAATGAAGTTGAAACGAGAAATTAACGAACACGAATCGCGAACGTTCAGAGTGAACGACTGTGAATCCTGGCGTCTGGCGCGCGGTTAATTATTTTTGAATTTAAAAAGCTTTTATCGCGACATAAATAAAGATGCAACGCGCACGCGCATGTCGCCTACGACAATGTGACTGAACTGTGTAATTTACGATACTGGTTACTCGCTTCAGCAGTAACGAATCGTTATTGCTGAAACGTTACGGGGTTTCTCGTTCCACCGACGAAACGTAAGAGATGAAACGTCTCCCATAATTGTAGAGTGTAGAAGATACAACGTGGTAACGTAAATTAAAACATTAATCAACGACACGCGTATGTGTAGAACGTACTTACAAAGTGATAAATTATGTGTACAATCGACTTTATGTGCGATTAGTTACTTGGCTCTTGAAACGTGAACTTCAACATCTGATCGATCTCGATAAATCTCGTTCGTGGACGATGCATGGGTACGTATGTACTATAATGCGATATTCAACGAAATTAACACCCAAGGGAGAAGAATAACAAAAAGCAGGGAAAAAACGAAGCTTTATACCGCTTAAAGACCGTTCGACGATCGGGAGTGGGAAATTTTAATTTGCTTAATGCTGGCGGGAACGAAAAAGAGGTTAGGAACACGGTATTGGAGAACGGGCCGGTTATTGTCGGAATGGTCGTTGGAGGGCTTATAATTGAATTCTTTTGTGACGAGAAGAATCGAGCTTGACGCGATTTAGTTTCATTCATATGCGATGCCGATCGATTAACCTCCATTGAGTCGCGCACACCTCCTAGATGGCGTCATTAACTTCGGTAATTTATCGTTTGCTGCGGAAACAAGCGTGAAACAGCCGGCTCGATTCTGCTTCGGCCACCAAAAAAGCGGAAACACGAGGAAACACTTTTCGCTCTGATACGCGGCAGAGACTTCCGATTCTTTTGGCCAGTTCCACCGGAAATAGAATTCGCGCATCGCGGCTGAAAAGGCACCTCGAAATTCTTCAGTATAGATTATTTCACCTCTCGATCTTAACGCATCGTTTATATCGATAAACGATGAAGCCAAACTGAGCAACTCCATTTTTTTGCTAGTTTTCCGATTTCACTTAACAAATTGTCAATTTTCAAAATTTGTTTAGAATCTATCGAAATATAAATTTAAAAAAAAAATCGTATTCGCAGTATCATCATTTCTTTCTATTTTTTTCAACTTGTGAAATTAATCAGCTTCTAAATGATTCAAATATGAAAAATAAAGGGTCGGATAAAACGGTGTTTTGTACATAATGATAATAATTAAGCATTTTACAGGCCAAAGTGATTAGCCTCACTTCCACATCTTTTAGATGCCAAAGCACTTGATTTATATTTTTCATATTTAAAATATAATTATAAGCTTCCTTGATAATTAGGCTTAATATCATTAAACGATAAATATGTTTTCGACTGTGGAAGTGATAAATGATTTATTTCAGAAGCCAATGCAATTATTTCAAGGATGTACGAATTTGCATGTCATTATTAGACTGCGGATGTTTATGCAAGTTTAAATTTTCGTGTATATTATTAATCCTTGAAATATTGCAACAAATATCGCGCTTTGAATATTTTTATGTATCTTCTTATATTACACGCATTGTAAATCTTTAAATTTCCCGTAAATACATAAAAATCCACAGTCTAGTCATTAGATGAGAGTCACAGTAATAATGCACTTTACAACGTTTATTTCAGTTTAAATTTTAAAGAGGAACTTTTAGAACAAACATATACAATTCTTATCAATTTTTCTATCTTTCGTTTCACGGAGTTAATCGATTTGGCAAATGAGCGATTCACGCGCTCCACAGAAGAGTCAGGGAATTTTAATCGTTGATTCATGACTGAGAAGTTCGATGATGAGAATTCTTTCGCGCGCAGCAATTGTCGCTTACAGTTAGTGTCGCGCGAAAGAAACGCGTTCGAGATTCAAAGTGACCGCAGAAGCTAGTTAAGTGCTTGTTACGATTTAGAATTCGTGGCACGTGGACTTGGATGGCTGATTTTCAATCAGAGTACACGCAAGCGAATTTCGATCGCGTCTGACCGGAATACGAAGAATACTAAGCCAATAGACGCGTGTTTGTAACATGTCGAAGAGTTGCGGAAGGGTCTACTTCCGGTTCTCTCAAGAGCTTTCTTTTTCAGGACTGAATCACGTGGTACGTAGCTCGTTACGTGACGAAACTCCAGAAAGGAGTAAAAGAAATTGAAGAAATTGAAGGCGTTTCACTGCAGGGAAGGAAATTCGTAGAGGAACGTTTTGTTTCGTCGCGATAGAGCTTTTCTATTTTCTCTTGTTTCTGTATTTTGGTGGGCGATTGCGGTGGAAAGATGGAAAGAGACTAGAGCTTAATAAGATGAGGAGCTTCTCCTCTCGACTTGCTGAGTATAGCGTAAACTAGGTCTGCTTATTTGTCTGTTCGTGGTAATTAGGGGAATATCTCAGAATTGAAAAATTAGTTGATACCTGAAAAAAAGAAGGAAATAGAAAAAAATATTCTATCTCGAGAGATATTCCATAAAAACACTGCAAACACGAAACGCATAGATGAATATAATATTCCATCTCTGTTTCATTTTTTTTTTCTTTTTTTAACTCTATTTCATTTTACCGCTGAAAACACGGATACACTTCTAACACTCGTTGCGATCATATATTCTACGCGAAACGGGGAAAACTGGAAAATCATCGTTCCCAGTGAAATTAAATCAAGAGATAACATCCACGAAATTTTCTCCCTCGAACCCGAACTTAACGATATATAGACCAGCCTTAGGAACATCACAGTCGAATATAAATCTACTATGGATATCGTTCCCTGTATTCAGAGGGGAAACGTGTGACCGTGTTAGATGAACCTTCAATAACAGTGGACCTTTGAACTCCCGTTCCACCCTTCCCGGTGGAAAGTATCCCTTCTACCTTTCACGTCAACACCACGTGGATTCCGGTTGCTGGCTTCCGTACCGAGGGTCTCGGCCACTCGCCCTCTACCTCTAGGCGGCCGATAGGATCTCCTCCCCCAACTCTTTGTATCTTCTTCGATCCTGTCTGACGAAGGGATCTAGACGTGTCTCGCGAGGAAGCCGGCTTGCGGATCGCGCGCGTTTCTCCTACCAGCCGAACGGGGGGATGATTCGATCGGCACGCAGCCGTCGTGCGAACGAGCCACGAGGCGAACTACTCGGTACACGGGCCGACACTCGACTGGACCGCGGCTGTTTGAATTCGCGGGGTGTAGAGAGGAGGGGGTGAGGGTGAACTGTGGAGAAAGGCAGAAACAGCGGAATAGAAAGAGAGAAGGATCGAAAGGGATGAAGGAGAGAGCGGAACG